TGGCGCACCAACCAGCGCAGTGCAGATTCAAGCTCGGCGCAATCGGTGTCGCCAGCACTTTGCCCTCGCGTTCAATTTCATGCCGTAGTTCCTGGGCGGGTCGCAACGCTTCAAGCCGACTCCGCCGATGGCCGTTAGTCTGCGCTGGAAGGTGAATGTGCGCAGCTAGGAGCTCGCTCCCAATTTAAAACGAATGTTACCAATGCTTCGAAGGATGCGGGCGAATGGAATCATGGCGACTCCCATCCTCGCACGTTCATCACCACGGGGAACTTCAACATTCGTGATGGGGAACCGCTTCGTTACAACGCACCAGCCCCACTGCAAACACCAGCGCCGACGGCGCCGACATCCCATCCGAATGGGACATCTGGGCGCCCTTCGTTGACCTGGCCCAGGAGGAGCTGGCCGACGCCCCAACCCGCGCCACTCGCCATCAACACTCCGCCTCCGCAATAGACAGGGCCTTTCTTTACGTCCCAGCACGCTTCCTCCTCGATGCGGTTGTCCTCCAGAATGTGGACTACGTCCCGCTCGAGAGCTCCCAGGGGGGGCTCAGCGAGCAAGCCGCGCTGCTGCCCAATCAGAACTTCCGGGCAAAGTTGCCGCGGACCATCGCATCCCTGATGTGGTGTTCAGCGACGTAGGGTATAATGATATCTTGGACATGCTGATTGTAGATGCGGACATGGATCGTATTCCCCCTGCTATCAGATGGCAGCAATTGAAGGATATTTTGCCTGTAGCGGTCAAATAAACGCGAGGTTAATTGCGGCGACTTCCACTGCGTGCTAGCGACAAGCGCACTCGAGGGGGGGCAGCATCACACCAAGGCGTATGTCTCGTGCTGTCTGGAGGCAAACACGAAGTTTGCAGCTCTCATCATAGCCATTTCAGACGTGGGTGCCAAGCATCTTCACTTTCAAGATGCGCGAGTTCAGCGTCGGGGGCACGATTCTCTCCGCAGTCAATTTCGTTCGTTACACACTGCAGAGCATCAGGCCAACCACGAGTTTGCCGCGCAAACAGCTCAACGTGCTCCACGAGGGGGGCAATGGCAAGCATGGGCGGTCTCGGAGGACCAGATACTTCTGAAGCACCCCATGGCGGGCCACCATGCTTCAGAGGCCCTGAATGACCCCAGCTTCGCCTTCCTGCCCAAAGGGAGCGAGGCCAGCGATGCCCATGAGGGCCTGCGAAGTCCAGACCAAACTCGCCCTGTCTAGTTGCGCAGCGCGGATTCTAAGATCCCGGCTTCGGCGGCCAATCAGCGGCTCGAAGGACTGGTCTGTGCGCGCGCCCACCAAGCCCGGCATGAATTTTCTACACTGTTTGCCCCGGCCAGACGCTGCTGCCCGCTTGGCTAGCACCAGCGAGACAGCTGCGACACAGGCGCCTGTCTTTGTTGCGCTCGATATAGCCGGTGTGTGTTCCTCTCCTCGGCCGCGATTGGCAGTGGGAGGTGCTCTCTCGTTTTGGCGAGCCGCCTGAATATTTGAATTTGCTTGCCTGCATGCACTTTGAGCCTCGCACTTTTGGCCTGCTGCAGGGCGAAATGTAATGTATGATCCACTGGCGTTCAAGCGGGGCGCAAGGCTGCCCACTGCTCAGGCTCGGCGTGGGCCATCGCGATGGGCCCGATTTGAATTCAACTGGTGGCGGTGGTGTCGTCGTCGTCGTCTCCACGGGGGTGGTCGGGGGATGTTCGGGTGCTGCGAGGCTCGAGCAGCCCTGTCTGTCTGCTTTAACACGTGTCTCTCCTGGTTTGAAGAGCACCGGGAGGCCAGCAAAACTGCGGCTCCTACCCAGTACGACAGCAGTTGTTCCCCTGCGGTCGGAGTCTAGTGTCAGCCCTCCTCTGCGCAGCAGCGCTGTCCTCTCGGCGCTCAGCCATTGCGCCCCGCAGCTTTTTTTATTGCCAACCGTAGTCCTGCGCAAAGAAAAACTCGCTCTGCACAGAATCCTTCGTTTGCCGCCCAGCGCGCTCCGATTGGCTGATTTGTTTTCGCTCAAAATACACGGTTTAGTGGCACGCGCGACAGAGCTAGTCATGAATTTAGCAAGCACGTGGAGATGCGACTGTCATGCTCTACGAAGCTCGGAAGCGCAGTTGCGCGAATGGTCTGAAGCGGCGGTCCTCCAAGAACCGCTGGTGCGCCGGTCACGCGCGCAATGGAATGCACCATGCTGGAAGGCAGAGCACGGCTTCTTTCGGCGGATTGATGGGCGTTCCGAAGTGCCACTATTTTCACCCATTCCTGTTGCACCCTGGGGTTCGGCGCTCGCGGCGGCCCGCAACGAACAGACCAGTGCAGCGGGGGGCGACTGCAGGAGGAAGGCCCAGCGTACTTTTTCTTTCTCGCTGCGCGTCTCACCCACCTGGATTTGCGAACGCCATCGCTAAGCGTTTGTCTGCGTGGGGCATTTCTGCTCCGATGAGTGGGGCGGCGGGCGCGCGCTGGGGGGAATGCATAGCGGTGCTCCGCGCGATTAAGCCTCAGTGGCTGCGGAGCCTGCAAAGGGCCCTCGCAGGAGGGTGGACAACATCACATTGCATGCATGTCATTGGAGCGACATCGCGTATTTTCGTCTTCAGAGAGCAGCCCGACTTATTTCC